TCACCACTGAAAATTTAAACATGATACCCGAGGCACCGACTCTATACAGAGATAGTGAAGAAATAAATTAAGCGAGATAGAAGTGACTAGTAACGATGTTAATAAGCAGCCTAATAAGTCACCAGGTCCCGATGAGATATTTGCCAAAGTATTGAAGGAGTTTAGTATGCACTTAGCAAAGCTGTTTAACATGTCCTTAAAAACGGGTGTAGTACCAAAATCCTGGAGGATAGCGAATGTAATACCAATTTTCAAGAAGGGAGGTAGATCACTATCCTCTAACTACCGTCCAATCAGTCTAACATCAATTGTAGGCAAATTACCGTAAGCAATCATTTCAAGCTCTATTCGAAATCACCTGGAGAAGCACCGATTGATCAATGATTCCCAACATGGCTTCACAAGCGGGCGTTCATGTCTAACTAATCTATTAACATTCTTTTCATCTGTTTTCGAATCAGTGGACGAGGGGCACAATGATGATGTGGTTATATACAAAGGAGTTCATACAAAGGAGTGTTAGTTACAAGACTAGCGAGGTCATCCTAAAACTGTATCTGCTCTTGTGAGACCACACCTGGATTACGCAGTTCAGTTCTGGTCACCGTATTACAGAATGGATATAGAATCCTTGGAAAGAATTCAGAGGAGAATGACAAGACTAATCCCGGGCATTAGGAACCTTGTGTATAGAGACAGGTTAAAGCATCTTAATTTGCACTCCCTTGAGAGACGTAGAGCGAGGGGCGACCTGGTAGAGGTGTATAAGTGGAAGGCAGGGCTAAACAAAGGGGACATTACAAAGGTACTCAAACTATCCAACCAGGAGTGAACTCGTAACAATGGTTTTAAATTAAGACAAATTTAGATTTAGGCGCGAAATAGGTAAACATTGGTTTGGAAATAAAGTACACCACCACACTATCACATACACCATAGACGCACAACACCACACCATCAGACACACCGTCACGCATAACACTACACCATATGCATCAGTAGTAAGTTTGTTGACCAAGGTAGTAATAAACGGTTGTCTCTCACTGCGTGACTATTTGCGTGGTTGGGTGAGTCAAGTAGGTAATGAAGAGGAGGTGTGGTGAGAGTGGTTACCCAAGTATGATAACAGCCCTCGTTCACTCTGTCTCGTCACGTAACGGAAGAAGCTGAAGGTCTCTCTTGATGCTTCCTTACTATGCGGGGGACGTACTCAGTGTCCTAGTGAGCTTAGGTTACGCTTCGTTAGGTCAGGTCAGGTCAGGTTAGGTTAGGTTAGTATTAGGTTGGATTAGATTGTTTACGCTAGGTTAGGTTAGGATACTTTAGGTTAGGTTAGTTTAAATGACTTTAGATTAGGTAAGGTTAGCGTTAGGGTGTTTAATAATCATATGAGTTAGGCTAGGGTGTTTAATCTTCAGGAGGTCCAGATAATGTGTTCAGCTGTGTATTCCTGGGAGCAGAGGACAGTAGCCGCTGACTGACTCACTAATACTGGGCCACGTCGTGAAAGTCTGTCTGTCATGTGTGGTAGAATAGCCATTACAGCTAAAACAGCAACAGCTTCATTTAAAGCTATAATGATAATAACTACATGAACAACTACCAAAACTACAATAAAAACTACAACAATTACAACTACATGAACAACTACAACAACTAAACTGAAAACTACAACAATAACCCCGACTACATGAACAACTACAACAACCAAACTACACCAAAAACTACAACAATAACCACCACCACAACAACTACAACAACCATAACCATTAAAACAATAACAAAAACTGCAACAATAACCACAACAACAACGACTACAACACTTTACCCACTAGGTCGCGGCTTTTATCTCGTGTCGGGTCCCAAGTTGTCAAATTGGGCGAAGATTGACTTGTAAACAGCGAGTTCCGACGTTAATATGCAGCCGGTTGATGGGGTCTGCGGAGGGGACCCATTCCCATCATAAGTGAAGGGGAGTGGAGGCCTGGGGGAGGGGTGGAGGGCTGTAGGAAGGGTGGCTGATGGGGAGGGCCTGGTAGAGGTGGTGCCAAATGGTGCCACAGATTCCCCTATATGGCACTCTGACGCTGATGGTATATTTTTATTGGATAATAGAGAGAGAAAGAGAGTGTGTGTGTGTGTGTATTATCTCACTGTACTAACAACACCAATAATAATAATAATAATAATAATAATAATAGTGTTTGTTATGGTGTGTTGAGCTACAGTGACGCAGGTAGCACAGGAGTGGGCGGGCCAGTGAGGTATGGTGATGGTCTTGGCAGGCTGTGTTGTTTCAGTCACTTGTGTGGTGTGAACACTTCGTTTACCTGTGTCTCAGCGATTGTCACTTGTTTCCTATACACCTGATGTTTCTCTCCCACTTTACACACACACACACACACACACACAGTTAAAACTCTAGATATACTTTATTTTTAGTTTAGTGCATGGTTGTCCAATGCACGTAGAACACATGGGGTGCACAACAGACTAGCCCGCAGCAATTACATTTCTTACCGCAGCTTCCCTTACAGCCACGTAACACCATGCTAGTAACCTCTCTGATGCCACTGGTCGGTCACTGTCTACCGTAAATAGCATCCCGTTTCTGAATTGCCATCCCCACCCAGTGTGAAACAACTTGTTCCCCGACCCTGTAGGAGTGGTTCTTGGCGGCCGCTGAAGTTGGGGGTAAACTCTCCATTTGGAACCCAGCTGAGCAGACTGAGGTTGTGTTGTCTCGCCTCATGTACAGTGTAACGATTATTCTCCAGAGGTAGACCGAACACACAACTTAGGAAGAAATGGATTTCCTACGCACGCAGCTTCATGATGAGTCAAGTCTAGTTGCCAAAACGAATTCAACTCCTTCGAGTCCTCCTCTTCACTCTAAAAAATAGCCAATGTCCTCTTTTTCTCAGTGTTATATAGTATAGGGCTCCATCTGTAGCACAACCTAAGGTGGGTCTGCACTGTGGGACTAACAGATTGCTACATTTTATGAGTGTTGTAGACAGATATTGGGTTTAGTCCGAAGAGAATTATAAAGTCCATACCAATGTCTGGCCTGCGCTGTAAGCATGGCCAACAAATCACTGTCCGTAGTTACGACCACAAAAGGTTATGTTTGATCATCTGCTGCAGTTACCACTGCAGTTTGAACAATAAAGTAATCGGCACCTTGCTCGCCCCACCACAGCCCACGAACTTGGTGAGGAGTTCAGTGATGATCCTCGCTTTGCTTTTGCAGGTTTGCCCCAAAAACTTTTTAGAATCAGAACGTCATCATAATAAGCTCAAAGATGATGTCTGCTGAGAAATTCTGAGTTACTCGGCTCTGCTGCTTTGGTGGACATTATGCAGCCATGTTCATCGAAAATTATATTTAATTCAGGGTCATCCTTCACGAGGACATGCGCTACATATGTGTCACACACACAGCTACCTGGAAGTATGTACTGTAGATTCACTGGGCTGACGCATTCTCTGCACAAGATGTTTGCGAGGACACGTTTAGTCTTTTGTGCGTGGTGTGTGTATCATATAGGGAGGGAAGATAGCCTCATGAACTCAAGCACGTATACTGTACTCCAGCATCTCGGTGTTGTTGATAAACGTCACACACATGACGAAGAAACTGGTGTTGACCTCCACTACTGGTCCGAGAGCTGACACTTTACTTTTCTATGTGAAGTCCAGTTGATGATTTGTGCCATATTATGACCTTAACCCATCACACTACAACCTTAACCCGTCACACTACAACCTTAACCCGTCACACTACAACCTTAACCAGTCACACAACATCCTTAACCCGTCACACTACAACCTTAACCCGTCACACTACAACCTTAACCCGTCACACTACAACCTTAACCCGTCGCACTACAACCTTAACCCGTCACACTACAACCTTAACCCGTCACACTACAACCTTAACCCGTCACACTACAACCTTAACCCGTCACACTACAACCTTAACCCGTCACACTACACACCTTAACCCGTCACACACAACAACCTTGTCACACTACAACCAACTCCGTCACACACACCTTAACCCGTCACACTACAACCTGTCACACCCCCGTCACACCAACCTTAACCCGTCACACTGTCACACTACAACCTTAACCCACCGTCACACTACAACTCCTTAAACCGTCACACTACAACCTTAACCCGTCACACTACAACCTTAACCGTCACTGTCACACTCACAACCTTAAACCGTCACACTACAACCTTAACCCGTCACACTACAACCTTAACCCGTCACACACAACCTTAACCCGTCACACTACAACCTTAACCCGTCACACACTAACCCTTAACCCGTCACACTACAACCTTAACCCGTCACACTACAACCTTAACCCGTCACACTACAACCCCTGTCACACTACGTCACACTACCTAACCCGTCACACTACACCACAACCCGTCACACTACAAACCCGTCACACTACAACCTTAACCCGTCACACAACAACCTTAACCTGTCACACAACAACCTTAACCCGTCACACTACAACCTTAACCCGTCACACTACAACCTTAACCCGTCACACCACAACCCAACCCGTCACACTACGTCACACTACAACCTTAACCGTCACACTACAACCTTAACCGTCACACTAAAAATCTTAACCTGTCATACTACAACCTTAACCCGTCACACAAACAACCTTAACCCGTCACACTACAACCTTAACCCGTCACACTACAACCTTAACCCGTCACACTACAACCTTAACCGTCACACTACAACCTTAACCAGTCACACAACAACCTTAACCCGTCACACAACAACCTTAACCCGTCACACAACAACCTTAACCCGTCACACTACAACCTTAACCCGTCACACTACAACCTTAACCCGTCACACAACAACCCTAACCCGTCACACAACAACCTGAACCTGTCACGTGTGTGTTATAGTTGTTACAGAGGTGTTACATGTGTCTTACGAAGTTATGTTTTTGTTACAGAAAGATGAAGGAGGTCACGTCGAAGCCACGGCGTCTACAGAACGTGACGACTGGCCACGAGGTGTATGACTCCCTCCACACCCGGACCCAGTCGGTGAGTGTAGCCCCGTCCTCCTGTGTACCTCCTTCTGCAGGGTGTTCCTCTCCCACACTACCTTCCACAGGGTCCAAATAAGCTATAATCTGTCTCTCTCACTCTCCCTCACACTGTGCCTCTCTCTCTCTCTCCCCCACACTCTCTCCCTCTCCCTCACACTCTCTCACTCTCACTCACACTGTGCCTCTCTCACTCTCCCTTACACTGTGCCTCTCTCTCTCCCTCACACTCTCTCACTCTCACTCACACTGTGCCTCTCTCACTCTCTCCCCACACTCTCTCCCTCACACTCTCTCCTCTCCCTCTCCCTCACACTCTTTTACTCTCCCTCACACTCTCTCACTCTCCCTCACCTCTCCTCTCCCTCTCCTCTCCCCACACTCTCTCCTCTCCCCACTCTCCCTCCCCCCCCTCTCTCCCTCTCCCCTCTCTCTCCTCTCCCTCACTCTCTCTCACTCTCCCTCACACTCTCTCACTCTCCCTCACACTCTCTCACTCTCCCTCACACACTCTCACTCTCTCTCACACTCTCCCTCACACTGTTCATCATTCCCGTACAACATAATCTGTTTCCGGCGTGTTAGTAAGTCCTTTGTATTCATAAGAAGATTAACTGTGACTTATTTTGATCTGTGAGTCGTTGGTGCGGTGGCAGAGTGGATACAGTGCTTGTAATGTGAGTTCTAACCTAACCTAATCTAGGGGGGGGGCTAATCTTCAGGTGATCTCAGCCATAATCACCAATACTTTTACTTTACCAGATGAAAATTAGCTTCTTTTTTTTTTCTTCAATTCATACAACTGGGAGGAGTAATGCTATTGATAATATTTACAGTGTATTAATATTGCTATTTTGTTGTTGTGTATTTATGTGTATGTTAGTGTTATTGATATTCTGTATATAAATAAAAACACGTGGGCTGTTACAGTGGTGAGTGTATAACTGTATATAAACATGTTATTATTATTCACAATTAGGTCTTAGTGTGGGTGTGTTACTGTTTGTGTGTTGGGGCTCGCTCGTGTGTGTGTGTGTGTGTGTGTGTGTGTGTGTGTGTGTGTTTGTTTACTTTCTTGTTTGTTGGTGTATGGGGGCTCGTTCGTATGTGTGTATGTTTTTGTTTGCTCGCTCGTGTATATGTGTGTGTTTGCTTGTGCATGTATGTATGTATGGATGGATGGATGGATGGATGGATGTATGTGTATTTGTTTGTTTGTGTGGACTGGCTCGTGTGCTACCTAACTCCGTTTTCTATAATTTAGTCATTTATTCAGTTTGTTTCAAATCTCCGTAAAGCTGCGGAAGTTTCTTTAAATTCTTATCCCCAGAAGTTTTTTAATCCAACAAGAGACTGTGTGTGTGTGTGTGTGTGTGTGTGTGTGTGTGTGTGTGTGTGTGTGTTCCTCCTCGGGGTTCAGAAGTTACCAGCAGGTGTCTATCATGATACGACACAATCTTAACGACAGTCATCACTGACACTCATCCTTGCACTGGGTCATAAATGTCAGTCAACACCACATAACGTTAGACTTTCACCGAGTACCTGTTCTATTTTCCGGATAATTAGGCCTTGAAACGCGTAAACCTAGACAATCAGTTTATTAAGCTAGGACTGTGAAGGTTTAAGAAACTCGTATCTGTAACTAGGACAAAGGTTACGGTCTTGAGTATTAATGTCGGTTAATCTCAATTATACTTTTGTCTTCTGTTTACGTAATATTTTTTGGCTCCTTGTGTGAAGTTGTGATATTGTTGTTGTGAGGGTGTTTACCGTCTTGTAGAGGTTGTAGAGTTTATTTACTTTCTATTTCTTATATAATTCAAGAAAGAGTCAGTTTAATGTGTAAAATAACGTGAATTAATATGAATGTATTGCATGATATTTCCTCCACGTTGGAAAGTGTTTCTGATAACGTCAATTTATCTAATATGTAACACGTCATTAGTGGTGAAGAATGTCGTGAAATAAAATGGCAACCTTTAGATGTGTCATATTGCCACCGTCCATAATAATTAATGCGTGCACGTGTAAGGCATAATTATTGTAAGTCTGCATGTCTGTAAATTGACATTGCTTCTCGTTCCCCTGCCCCGCCCCTGCCCCGCCCCTATTTTTATTGATGAACCTCCACCTACCAAATCTCATTTAAACCCCCCGGAACTAACACTGTGTGGAACTCCCTTCCACAAAGTGTTTTTCTCGTACTGTTTAACATCCATTAGTTAAACTCATCCAGCATTAAATGTCTTCAGTCTATTAGTCGGTGAGTAGATTTGGCAACACTACTACCATACTACATCCCCTTCCCCCCAAAAAGATCGTTTGTGTTGTTGTTTTCCATTTCGTTTTGTTTTTTTGTTTTGTATTTTGTTTTTGTTTTTATTTTGTTTTATTTCGTTTTTTTTCATTACTCTTCTCTCTATGATTTTTCGTTATTTATCCCGAGTCACTGGACCACCATCCACGCGCTGCCAACCAGTCGTCCCAAACTATCGTACAGCATTGAGACGAATGTTAGGCCTGAGCAATAAGTAAAGATAACAGTGAATTTGACGGAGATTTATTCTGCACCTTATACTCCTGACACAAATTCTCTCTCTCTCTCTCTCTCTCTCTCTCTCTCTCTCTCTCTCTCTCAAGAATATATTACGTTATCAAGTAATTAGTATGCAGGTGACAGGGCCATAAATATGATATACAATTTGCAAGGTGTTGACAGGATTGGCCGTGTGTCTCTCGTCACTAATTTTACGACTGTTGGTATAACGTGTAACGAGCAGGCTAATAACGGCTGTGGGTTGGCCCGCAGGCGTAAACGACTCAAGTGCCGCCTACTGATAATGTCTGATGGCCCTCTCTTGGCACCCTTCATTGGGCACCTGACACCTCCCCCTCACCAGGCCTTGACACCCCTCACCAGGCACCTGACACCTCCCCCTCACCAGGCCTTGACACCCCTCACCAGGCACCTGACACCTCCCCTCACCAGGCCTTGACACCCCTCACAGGCACCTGACACCTCCCCCTCACCGGTCCTGACACCCCCTCACCAGGCACCTGGGCACACCTCACCCCTCACCAGGCCTTGACACCCCTCACCAGGCACCTGACACCTCCCCCTCACCAGGCCTTGACACCCCTCACCAGGCACCTGACACCTCCCCCTCACCAGGCCTTGACACCCCTCACCAGGCACCTGACACCCCCCCCCTCACCTGACACGTCTCACCTGGTCCTGTCACTCTCATTGGGCCTTAACGCCCTCACCAGACCTTAACAACAGCAGCAGTAGTAATAGTAGTAGAGGTAGTAATTGTAGTAGTCAAACCAGAGAGAGAGAGAGAGAGAGAGAGAGAGAGAGAGAGAGAGAGAGAGAGCAGCTATATCTGTTGACCAAAACATTAGTGTCAACCAAGAACCCGTGAACTTGCAGGTGTGTTTCAGGTGTGTTGAGGAGATACACAGTTACCTCTTCTACCACACCTGAGGAAATATTCGTATAAACATGATCTGAATTAAACCTTCTCGCCAGCTGTCGGTTTGATCTGTCCCATTAAGCTGTCAGCCTTCAATTTCCTCACTTGACTAACATGGAAAACTTTTAGTTATAACTTGGCCTTACCATCTTGAAGTTGTCCCTCCCTCCCTTCCATTTCTCCACAGCCTCCCTTTTTCCCTCCCTCCTCCCTCCCTCCCCTCGTTCCCTCCCTCCTTCTTTTCCCTTTCTCTCTTCCTCCACTCCCTTCACTCTCCTCCTCACCATTCCTCTCTCCCTTTACATTCTTCCTTTCCTCCCAATCTTTTTCTCCTTTCCTCTTACCCTCACTCCATTAATGTCTCTCACTTCCTACCCTTCCCCACACTATCCTTCCTTCCTTCCTTCCTTCCTTCCTTGGCTCGTTGGTGCTCTCCTTCCTTCCTGCCCCCTCCCTCAGTCTTTACAACTCGCCAATAACATAACAAGTTTAGCGCCTGGCAGACATCATTTACACAACGCCCACCTCGGTTGACTGGCAGCGATGGGTCGAACAGCGTCATCTGAATCGCGTAACTTTTGATGTCGAATTTTCGTATGTAAATTATTATTTTTCTCAAACTCGCTGACTCGCTAAAATTAATTGTTTGTTATTCCTTGAGGTTTTGTTTTTACTTTAATTTTTACTACTGATATTTTGTTTTGTTTTTCTTCCTGCTTATTTTCCTCCTCTTCTTTTCTTTCTCCTTCTCTTCCTCCTTCCTTCTTCTCCTCCTCCTCCTTCCTTCTCCTCTTCCTTCTCCTCCTCTCTCCCCTTCTTTCTCCCCTTCCTATATCCCATTCTTTTTCTTCCTCCTCACTACTGAAATTAATAATATTACTTATAACTAGTTACACTTAGGTACTTAGATGGACACACACACACACACACACACACACAGTTTTTTTTAATGTTTGACTTATAAAAAAGACTGAAAGTGTAGTGGTGGAGGAGGAAGGTGTAGGTGTAGTGGTGGAGGAGGGTGAGGGTGTGGAGGAGGAGGGTGTAGGTGTAGTGGTGGAGGAGGGTGAGGGTGTGGAGGAGGAAGGTGTAGGTGTAGTGGTGGAAGAGGAAGGTGTAGTGGTGGAGGAGGAAGAGGAGGGTGTGGAGGAGGAGGGTGTAGGTGTAGTGGTGGTGGAGGGTGAGGGTGTGGTGGAGGAGGGTGTAGGTGTGGAGAGCGTTAATTAAAGCAATAACTGTCTTATTAACTCGTCACCGTCATAACTACCTCGTTTACTCTCGTCTTGTGAACAAACTCATAGTAAATATGACAAAGAGCCTCGTTTGCCTCCAGTTAACAGCAGTAGATGACCTCTTAACAGCAACTACGTCACTCAACCACGTCCCTCAGTTACCTCCTTCTCAATGTCCCCCCCTCAATTACGTCCCTTAATCACTTACCCTCTCAGTTACATCCCTCTCAACCACGTCTACCTCAACATTGACTCTCTCTCAACCACGTCTACCTCCACATTGACTC